TAACAGGGTTTACTAGAATCCCACCACTCCACCACAGAGTCACCGCAGTAGACGTTAGATGAGCGCTGTCGCTCTGCGGCACTTGTTTTGTTTAAGGACCATACACCTAGCTGCAGTAAATGTGGCCAACCGAGTTCATAGCCAGCACAAATGAGGAAAACCCATCTTCAAATTTATGGGGTATCAATCACCTTTACAACGCAAACTAATACTAGTTAAACTCATATCCACGTGATATATAGTGTCACAGAGCCTATTTCAGGATGTTTGTTTCCAATGTGTTACTCTACAGGAATATGAAAACATTTAGAGTATATATAACAAAGTGTAATAATATGGCATATATATACATACACACAATGCGCACACACAATTATATATCTCTATTATTCACTCCTGTATATATATCTATATATATATATCTATATATAAAGTTGTTCAGCCAAATTAGTCCGTACTCGCATAACTAGAGAACTCCGCAGCATAGAGGAAAACTAAAGATATTTTCAGAATCAGCATGTCTGGGAGGTGGTTCTGACTGAAACAAAAAGTTAAAAAAGTTAAAAAGTAAAAAATTAATAAAAATTATATTCATCAATAGATGGCGGTGCATACAGATTAACATCACGTACGTGTGAATCCATGGTACGTGTATACCCTTAAATTTATGGGGTATCAATCACCTTTACAACGCAAACTAATACTAGTTAAACTCATATCCACTTGATATAGTGTCACAGAGCCTATTTCAGGATGTTTGTTTCCAATGTGTTAATATTAATTACTCTACAGGAATATGAAAACATTTAGAGTATATAACAAAGTGTAATAATATGGCATATATATACATACACACACATGCACACACACATTATATATCTCTATTATTCACTCCTATATATATATAATATCTATATTTATAAAGTTGTTCAGCCGAATTAGTCCGTACTCGCATAACTAGAGAACTCCGCATCATAGCGGAAAACTCAAGATATTTTCAGAATCAGCACGTCTGGGAGGTGGTTCTGGCTGAAACAAAAATGTAAAAAAGTTAAAAAGGTAAAAATTGAAAAATCCATGGTGTATACCCTTAATAGCGCAGTGGCCTAATCGCTAGAACATCCGTCTCCTACACCAGGATTCCGGGTTCGAGTCCCAGCTGGGGAACTTATTTTCCCCTTTTTTCCCTTTACCTACCTCTTTAGTATGTATTATTTTTTATTTTTTACTTTTTTAATTTACTTTTTTATTTTTAATGTTTTTTATCTTTTGATTTCTTATTATTTTTTACCGTTTGCGATGGGATGGATGTGGTGGAATGGCATGGCATGGCATGGCATGGGATGCGATGAGATGGGATGGGATGGATGGATGGATGCATGGATGCATGCATGGATGATGCATGATAGTTAGATTTTTTGGGGTATTTTCTTCACGCGGTCACCAACTCTAGTAACGCCACTGCATGACTTCCCCGGGCAACGCCGGGTATCCCGCTAGTATATATATATATGTATGTATATATATATATATGTGTGTGTACGTGCATGCGTGCATATGCGTGTATGTATATATATATATAGTGTATAATTAAGTGTGCGTAATTGTGTATATGTATATTAATTTCGTCAAGAGCTAATAAATAACTGCAGCGTTTTTAGCTCATCTGACGTAGTCAGGATATTTCCCTTTTAACTTAAGGTATAGGAGGATACGGAATTGCGGCACAAATTTTAACGGCTCGACCTATATGCTCTTAATATTTGGTGTATAGTGTGATGGGCACGAAATCCATCACCAGTGCGAAATTGGAGGGCACAGGTCAAAGGGCAGGGGAGGAAAGGTCAGATATCAGACGTTTTCTGAGGACATGGCCTAATGGACAGAGTGAAAAACTTTTTTGTTTCACGCTGATCGACCTACCATTTTTATCACTTTATTGAAAGGACCATGAAATGTGCTTTCCACTGACGTGCGAAGAGTAAGTGTCTGATAACCTTTTGACCCTCAAGAGGAGAGTTAAACATGGATTCCTGAACTGCCTGAATGATGCCAGTGTTCTCATATTCATGGCACATTCATAATCTAGAAAGCCAATGTCTGGAACCAGCATAGCCCAACGGGTAAAGCACAGGATTGCGACTCAAAGGTCCTTAGATCGAATCCCATCAGATTTTTTATTATTTACTTGTTTTCTGTATTTTTCTATCTTTATCCATTTAACTATTTTTTTCCAATTAACGCAAATATTTACATGATTTATTTACAACAATTTAATAACAACAAATAATTTTTACAATTAAATTTATTTTGGTATTAGGGTTAGGGTTAGGGTCACAATGCACCATAAAACAGGAGTTTTAGGCATGCGATTTGTATCAACCAATGGCATTTGGGAGGTATAGAGAATGCAGAAGGTTGCCGAAATGATGTGTACGCAACTGCGTATAGATCTGCATATCTGCGCCTAACAAAGGTGTCACTACGCACGACTTAAATGTTACGTTTATAACCGTAGCAACAGACCTCAGATGAGCCCAGACGCTCTGCGGCTCTTGTTATCCATGTATTTATTGCATTATAGCTATAGTAGCCAATTGAGAATTTTGTACGAGTACTCGTACATCCTAATAGCTCCCTTTTATTATTTTGATCAATATTTGCTTAAGGATTGGGAGTGATGTGTGTAGGCTAGGATGAAGTACTATTTCCACGAACTTATCTTTATATATTGGCCTCGGCTTAAGGAAACGGAGATAGGCACCGCCCTAAGCGCCACATAGGCACGTACATGAACGATTTAACTTTAACTATCTTTATATATATATATATATAATATAAGGTCCTAGCTGCTACTGCCCATCCTGTTATTTACCTTGTAATCTCATTGTACAAGTCACGACGTACTCTATATGCGTATGAACTTATGCAACTGTGTACTTACAATGCACCCATACTAGCAAGACATTTTTTGTTTGACATGGACATATACCTATGTTTAAAGTATGATACCATACGTTGTGCTTCTATAGGATTAATTGCTGTGCCAACATTTTTCGATAGGCAAAAAATCATCTGCCCATGAATATCTATGATGTGAAATCTCTAAATGATATATATTGGAAATTGGTATATTGATTGATAGAAAAGTGATGCTATTGCCAGCGCTTTATTCTCTACCTGCAGAAAATTTGATTTACACATACTTTTGATGTGTAAAAAGCTGCTTATGTAAATTCATGCTGTTTGTCATGATATGTACGTAGCCTGCAATGGTACTTTTGCTAGCAGTCCCAGTATCTATTCTATCTAATTAGAAAGAACCAATAAATTCCTAAAGAGAACATTATATATATTTTAATAATATTAGGTATACATGGCCATATTAAAAAAATACTGCTTGAATCTGGACACTGGTCAAGAGTCCTGTCTTCTGCCAAGGGCTCGTGAATAAGAGTGTAGATTTCTTGCATCGCATTCCTTTCCCCAGTAGTACAACAAGCAAAAGTCTGGAACAGCTCGTCTTAAAATCACCTTATTTAGATGCCTTTCTAGAGACTGGGGAAAACAAACAGTTGTATGAAAATGTCTTCTGTAGGCTTCCTCGGTTACTCGTACTGTCCTATTTTTGTTTTCCCAGATGCTACACATACTATATCACAACACGAGTAGCAAAGCAGATGAAAAACTATCCTACATTGGAAACTTGTACAAGGATTACGTGCTGCGAGCTACTTCGCTCCACCCATTTAAGGTAAGACTATATAATGCTAATAATTATAGATAAGATTTATGATCTGATGCACTTTATTCTAGGATTACTACCCCTGGACACTACCACCCGGACAATTACCCCCCTAGGACAACTACCACCCGGACAACTACCCCCTAGGACAACCCTAACCCTAGGGGGTAGTTGGCCGGGTGGGAGTTGTCCAAGGGGGGTAATTGTCCGGGTGGTAGATGTCCAAGGGGTAGTCATCCGGATACGGATGCACTTATCTTTAATATGTCACTTTTTATTACGCATATAAGCATAATTAACGACTGAAGCTGCAAGTATCGAAACATGCAAGAATACAAATTAAATTGTAAAATAATTGAACAAGCACAGCACACACACACGTACAATCAACATTTTTCCCTATAATTGTACTCTACTAATACGGAGCTTCACTGGAGCTGAGCCATGCTAGTATTCCTGAAAGAGACGCGTGCTGTAATGCATGCTGCCACACCTCACCATGCCGCATACATTCGCACCAGGGGAAAAAATCCCTTCTTTTTTCACGGAAGCTCTTTTCCAAGTTGTGGGAAAAATAGCTGTCGTCAAAAATTTTACGGGAGCTATTTTGAGCCTCACGAGAGCGATTTCGGAGGTATGAAGAGCGAATCGTTCATTGCTCCCGTGTATTTATTACCCTGATTCGCACCGCAGGTGACGCCGCACATGTATCGCGCGCACGCCTTCTTCGACGCGCTGCACGCGCGAGACCTGCGACACGCGACGCTGCAGCTGACGCGCGATGCGAGCGACATGGACGCGTTGCTAGGCGACCGGCGGACCGACCGCGGCCGCCTCGCGCTACACCCGGGGCTGAGCCGCGCGCCGCCGGCCGGCAAGTACGACACGGTCGCCTACGACTTCATCAGCCGCAGCCTCTACAGCGAGAAGAACTCAAACCCGAAGCGCGGCCCCGAGACGGCGACGCGAGACGCGCTCGAGTCCGTCGTCATGGCGCTGATGCGCGACGCGAACGCGGCGTCGCGCGAGCGCGGCCGCGTCATCGACTTCAAGGAGGTGCTCTACGGCTACGTCGGCGTCGACCCTCCGCGCGGCGCCACCTGGGTCGTCGACGTGCTCATGACGTACAAGAAGTACGCCGGCCGTAAGATGACCGTGCCCGTGCGCCGGCACGTCTACCTGCAGCAGGCGTTCACCGACGTGCAGTTCCGCGAGGAGACGCGCGAGGACGGCGCCGAGGCGTCAGAGGGCGCCACCGTGAGCAACGCGTACAAGACGCTGCAGGAGAGCCTCGGCGTCGGACTGAATCTCGCGGGCGGACTCGGCGGCGGCGGCGGCGACGCGGAGAACGGTCACGAGGACTGGGTGCGCGCGAAGGTCGTCCACTTTATTCTGCCGCTCGCCGGCCGCTTCGCGACGTTCCAGCGCTTCATGAACAACTTCGAGAGCGTGTGCCTGCGCAACGACGAGGCCGTCAAGCTGGCGGTGATCCTCTTCGAGCACGCGGCAGACGACGCGATCGGCGACACGGTGGCGCTGGTCGGCGAGCTGCGCGGCCGCTACCCGCACCACGAGCTCGCCGTCGTGCACGCCAAGGGCCCGTTCTCGCGCGCGCCCGCGCTCGAGATCGGCGCACGCCAGTACGGCCGCGACGCCCTGCTGTTCTTCGTCGACGTCGACATGCACTTCGACGCGGCGTTCCTGCAGCGCGTGCGGCTCAACACGGTGCAGTCGCGCAGCGTCTACTTCCCGATCGTCTACTCGCAGTTCGACCCGGCGACCGTCTACGCCGACGACGCCGCGCCGCGCGACCCGCTGCGCGTCGCCGAGCACACGGGCTACTGGCGCCAGTTTGGCTTCGGCATCGCGAGCATGTACCACAGCGACCTGCGCGACGCCGGCGGCTTCGACCTCAGCATCGTCGGCTGGGGCAAGGAGGACGTCGACCTCTTCGACAAGATGGTGCGCGGCGGCAACGTGACGATCCACCGCGCGGCCGACCCGGGCATCGTGCACGTTTACCACCGCATCGAGTGCGACGCGGGACTCGAGCCCGCGCAGCTGGCGATGTGCCGCGGCACGCGCGCGTCCACCTACGGCTCGCAGGCCACGCTCGCCGCCACCCTCTACGCGTCGCCGCACCTGCTCGATCCCGTCGCGGCGGTGCCGCCTGCTGGCGATTCGGAGAAAGCGTGAGAGCAACTAGGGTGGGGTTTCTTGCGCACCTGCTGGTAGTTCAGAGGTATAGGAGGAATCAACGATCAATTTTTTCTGCAAATGAGGCTGTTGCACATCGCATTGCGCAACACCTTTTTTATTGTTGTGGTCGATGTAAGATGAAGGGATAATAACTGTGCTTTATCTAACGACAATGCTCATGCTATTTCTCTTGAGGGTCGGAGACAAAATACAGCATACAATAAGACGTTAGAAACGTACGTGAGAGTATATATTTTTTACATAATTGTAATGATAAGCTATTACCCGTGAGCAATGGTTTATTTTTTAAATTTGAAATTTTTATCGACACTGGAAGCATTTGAAATGGTCCAGTATTGTCACAAACCGAATCTGTATAACAAACTGAATAAAACATTATATTGATGTAAAACTAATATAAATATTGCTTGCATGGTCATGCTATAGTGGGATTGGTTGCATTGCAAAAAATATTGGCTTCTTTCTGTCCACCACATCCATACATTCTTTCCATTTAATTATTAAAAACGAATTTATAAGTTACTATAGGATTTCCAAAAGACTTGGAAAAAGAAGTAGCGTGTGAGCCTGTATTTTTCATGACTTTTCTAATTACCACCTTTTTAATGCTTTTCGATGACTGCGAACCATGTTAAAAGCTACTATTTCTCATAATATATATATATATTTTGAACTGCTGCTGAATTGAAGACCAACCGTAATGTCAGTAGCTGATTATTTTGAAAGCCTCTGGTTTATTGCAATTAAAAATTGTTGCCATCTAAAGATACCCTGATACCCTAGGTATGTAAAATATTCAGCCATTTTTCTAGTACTTATATAGTATGAGGAGAATATTGACTTCAACTGTCAAATTTTGTCATGTCCTGTTCTCGTAACAAGTAGTTATAAAATATAAGTAATCATTGAGTTTGCATTTATTCTTTTTGGCACACACTCGTTTACTTTTGGTCGAATAGCATTAGCGAATAGCACTTCACAATGAATAATTGTTAAAACCACAGCTGCTAAAATGAGAATGTCGTGAAACTGTTACAGTAGGAGTACACACAGGAGTAACTGTGGTGTGACGCTTATTCAAGCACTATACCCAAATACTCATATACAGCAAATAAGAATATTAATCCAATAACCACTTTAAAAAGGAAATATTTATTGTGACAACTATTTGGGGACGTGTTGTTTATATTTCATGTGCATTTCCAGTGAATTCCACAACATTTGTGTACACATACTATATTTGACAACCCCTGTATGAATTTTTGTTTGCTGTGACGCATAATTTCCAGTATAAATATGTATGATCGAAAAAGCTGTTATCGACACGTAATATGCACATAGTATTATCATATAAATGCAATTAGCCAGTTATAAAATCGTTAAAAAATGTTTTACATAAATTTATGATCCTTATATTATTTATATGAGCCAGTTATATTACAGCCAACAAGAACTCTTACAGAGTTGCAACTACCCATGACATGCATGCCATGCACACACAAGGCCTACTGTGAAAAATACAAAAAAAGAAACCTATTGCATTTTAGTAATCATCCAGTGATCACAACTAACAGCTAAATATTGTTCTAATTTACGTGTTATAGAGATCAATGAGTTATAATTTATTTATAATTATTATTATTACTATATACATATTAGGTTCCAAGTTATCACAACCAAAATTTCTTTTTGTTGTACTCTACCCATGTGTGAACGAATAATTATGGAAGGCACACAAGTAAATTGATCATCTCTCTATCACGGACGCACGCACGCACATGCACATGCACACACGCGCAGATGCACCACACATGCGCGCACATGCACACGCACGCACACGCACACGCACACGCAAACACACATCTACTATATAATAGTAGAAAGAGCCGAAGTGTCGTTTTCCGTATCTCTTCCGAAACCGTGCCACGTATTCTTATGCGAATCAAGCTGGGGCCCCTTCTGGACGTCCCGAATACATTCTGCTACGTTAGAACGCGATTTTTCGATGGTAAAGTGACTTTTTGAGGCAATTTTCTAAAAAGTTATGTGCCCGAAGAAACTTCGGCATTCATCGAAAACCCGCACAAAATTTTAAGATCGCCAAATCTGCATGCGCACACACGCACACACCAAACCACCACTGCCGCGCACAGCTGTGAGGCGAAAATTTAAGAGAAACCCCAACGAGAGACGGCTGCAGGTTGTATGTGTGTGTGTGTGTGTGTGTGTGCGTGCGTGCGTGCGTGCGTGTGCGTGTGCGTGTATGTGTGTGCGCGCCCGTGTGTGTGTAAATGTGGTATGTGTGTGCGTGGGTGCGCGTGTGATTGTGCGTGCGCATGCCCGTATGTGTGTGAATACGGTGCGTACGTGCGTGCGCGCGTGTGTGCAAACATTTGACAACGGAAGGTGTAACCGTGCCCGCGCTTACTCGGCTCCCAATGCTCTGACAATTTTAGACGCCGTTTCGATTGTCTAAGAGCACGCACACACCACACTATATATACCATAACCTTTTGAAATTGTGTTAAAATATTAATCTGTTCTCTCACGGGTTTTAATGATAATATAGCTATACTAAATGTAGATTAAAGGTAAAATAATAAGCATTTAATTAGGTGGAGCCTTCACCTAGCATAGCAAGCCACACTAAACGCACGCACGCACGAACGCACGCAGGCACACCGGCACGCGCACACACGCACACACCAAAGACATTGCGGCTGCGGTGTATAAACAGCCAATCACTGCCGCGCACAGCTGTGAAGCGAAAAATTAAGACAAACCCCAACGAGATACAGCTGCAGTTGTATGTGTGTGTATGTGTGTGTGTGTGTGCGTGTGCGTGTTCGTGTGCGTGTGCGTGTGCGTGTATGTATGTATGTATGCGTGTGTGTGCGTGTGCATGTGCGTGTGCGTGTATGTGTGTGCGCGCCCGTGTGTGTGTAAATTGGTATGTGCGCGTGGGTGCGCGTGTGATTGTGCGTGCGCATGCCCGTGTGTGTGTGAATGCGGTGTGTGCGTGCGTGCGCGCGTGTGCGTGATGCGTGTGTGTGCGCGCGTGTGTGCAAATATTTGACAACGGGAGGTGTAACCCTGCCCGCCGCCGTCCACTGACTTTCAAGAAAATATATCTTCAAAACTACTCTCAATGCATTTTGCTTTTTTTAAAGAATTTGACTTATTATTGATGCTTCTAACCAGAATTATATTTTCAAAAATATCTAAATAAGTAAAATTGTACGATGAAATCACTCCATTCTCCCATTGAAAAATTGCATATCATTTTAAGGTAAAATTTTAGATTTTATATATATTTAGATACAATTTTTTTTTTAAACAAATATTGGTATATGACTCGAGTGTAAATATCAGTATTTTTCGTTTACTGTAAATAATGTGCTATTTTAAAAAGTTCTTTAAGCAATTCACAACATAGATCGAGCTGCCTCACAAACCTCTATTCTATCTTTTACTTCCTCATGTGGGCAGAATATATAAAAAACAATTAATAAACATAACAGAACAAAATTTCGAAACATGGGCAAGCTCCGACATCTTTTCAATTGAGCATCGTCTGCAATACAGTCACCTAAAAACCTCTTGGAACATAAATCTACATTTCTCTCAATTGAATTTATGTCGAAAATTAGCAATTGTGATTAAAGGATATAAGAAAGTTTCATCAATGACATGTGAAACTTCTTAGACATAAATTGAATCTTCTATAAATAGCTGCTCTTATACAGTGTGCATAAACAATTAATAATAAAATTATTAAAACAAATACCTTTGTACTACTACCTATACAGTCTAGTCATTTCATGTAGTATTTCGATTAACAGCAATCAATAATTATCACTATAAACATGGTAATGTACTATATTGTATAAATAGCAGTCGATATTACAAGTACTAATTAACATTGCAGTGGCTGATTCAGCTGTGACAACCCCTGTGTCAGCCAGTGAAGTCCTACCTCCTACTGTATCCTAAAGTACGTCACTTCAGTCATTGGAGCTCTCCTTATTCCTGCATAATTTAGCATAAAGAATTACATTAAACTAGGCATCGACATTCTTGGCCACACTGGGCTACAATAGCACATGGAATTTTTTCTTTATTTAGAAGCAAATTTTATAATCCCCTACATGTGTAGTTCACACTTTTTATTTTGTTTTATTTAGGATAGTTTAGAGGAAATGCGTTCACATGCATATAGAATTGCTTTTAATGTTCAAATATATCGGCCCTAATTCCATTATAATTCCAGAGACACTAAAGGACTCTATGTTTACTACAAACCTCCTAGCTTCTCTGGCATAACCTCGTGTGATTAACCAGTTGCTTTTGCTTGCCCTCTGCTGATCTCTATCCTCTCCACGCCGGAGGAGCCACGTAGATTCTTCCTCTGTATGATGCTGCTTTCCATATCCAAGTGCCTAAATAGCAACAGGTGAGGTGACACAAGGTGCTTTCAACCCACCATCCACCGTGAATTCGAAGGCATCAAATGTTCAGTGGGCATGATAGTGAAATAACGTATCACATGGCACCATGGAACGCATGAAGAAAAGAATGAACGTATTAAATACGATAGAAATAGAATCGAATATATATTTGAACAAGTAGTAGGTGTTGAAAGGATATCATAAGACATCTTATGATCTAGTAAATTAGTGTGAAGCGGGAGAAAATCGAAACATCGTTTGTGCAGAAGCTCATTGTCAGAATCATTGTATATAGTTAAATAAGTATAATAATAGTAAAATAGTTATGAATATCATCAAGTATAAAATTTCATGACTTGTTGAATTGTTGGGCAAAAGTTGGCATTTTAGACTTGTGATATTCATAATTATTTTAATGTATGTTTCCGATAATGACCCTAGAATTTTATTAGTATCTCGGGTATGAACAAAAATTGTGTAAAACAAGCATAAGCATATGTGCAACATATGCTATCACAATTCACCAGACAATGCAGCAAGAGCAACGAAACAAAAAAGGAATAGAAAAAAAAAAACATAATAATAATAATAATAATAAATAAGGAAGGAATATTTGTTTGAATACATTCTGTGCAACAAAGTAAATCAGAATCAGCCAAGGTCGGTTAGCCAGAACATTGACAGCTGCGCAGTATTTGCTAAGAATGTGAGCAGTTTATATGGTGACAGTGGAACAGTCGTATTCTATAGTTGAACCCCTATTTTATGACATTTCCAGTACTCAGAGAGAGTGGGCTCAAACGATATTACTAACAACCACGAATATCTAGAATAGCACGTTCCTCATCATAGTGTTATTTAGTGCCATATTAGTTCAACCGCCATTCGTAACACATTGCATTGTGCAATTCTATAAGTATCATATCTAAGAACGAAGTAAGCAGGTTATATTAAATACGAAGATTATTGATTCATTTGCTTCGTCTCTAATCCTTTGTTCAGGTCAGTTAGTAGTTCACATTAGTTCACCCACTAAGAGTTGCCCCAAATTAAATCACTCAGCTTATTTTCACCTCGTGTTCAATTCCGTCTGCTGCTGAACCATCAGTCTCTAGAACACGTTTCATCCAGGTACCATCGGTGAAGCCGCCAGCCTTCGCTTGCCTCACCTGCCACTTGCATAAATGGAACTTGCAGTAACAAGGATGCAGGTATGTCGAGAAGGGGGTACCCATGAGCTCGCTCCACCACCATTGCTGGCAGCCCAACCACATAAGGTCTGTAGTGGTATACTTCTTGTACACAAAGTCCTCCATGTGCCTGTGCATATCTTTTAGAAAGATTCGGCGATTCTCTTTGCCAAGCTCGTTCCATCGGACATGTTTACTCACAGTTAAAATAGCCTTAAACTCCATCAGCGGCCTCTGGATTTCCCGCAGGTAGTCTCCAACGGCGTTTCTTCTATTCATACTTTCAGAACACTTAAAAACTTTGAATGATTTTTGTATATCTCGACCTAACTTAGTGTGTTGATAATTTATTGTTTTATCTTTCCTGCTCTGCTGATTACCACTATCACCTTTTTTACGATCACGACCCTGACCATGGCCTACCTGCTGGGTATTACGTCTATCATGTTTATCGGTGACAGGGACAACCCAATGTTCTTGCCGTGCCATCTTCAGAGTCGTCCCAACGTGCTCCTTAAGCTGGAAAATACAGTGCTTAATAACATATATATATGTATATATGTATGTATATATATAATAATATCAATATATACTGCTCTGTTACCATGTAATGTGGTGTGCTTGATCACCTGTGGCAAACTGTTGTAATACATGCAAGGAGGTCTAATCGGTCATAACCATTATAATGATACTTCTCATAAAATATGTGATATGTCAAAGAAGTGTGAGAAAAGTGTTCTACACCTTTATTCGTGTAAAGTCACAATATCTGGCACTCGTGGTAGTGTAGCACATTGGGCTTCAACAATGGGAGGAAAGATGCAAAGCCGCCCACGTACTGGGGCTGCAGGTCGGCGAACCTAACTGGCCAGGCTGCATAACGTCAGTGGTTAAGCGCAAATAACCACATCATAGATTTGGCTTCAATACGTGTGTAGCAGGTGAAAAATGATGGGCATCCAGGTGTGGCTTACATCACAAGCAGAGAGAAGCAAACTAGGAGCGAGTTGATGTAGATGTGTGAGGAGAGCAGCGGAGGTAGTAGGAGTGTGAAAGAAAGAGGGGAGAAATGGAGAAAAAAGAAGAGGTGACAAGAGGGTGTTAGTATGTCTGAATGTCTGTACGTGCGTTGTGATAGAGGTAGGGAAGTAAAACAGAGAGACTCGAGGGAGAGCAGAGACAGAGAGCATAGAGATGAAGAAGAGCTTCTTATTTCTCGTCGTGTGCGGTTGTATTTGTGAAGCCCGTGTGTGAGTGTTATGAAGTCTTACCTATTTTAGTTATAAATAGTCACGCTAGGTGCCGTTAGACTTTCCCCAGGATATAAGTTTTGAAAACCCTGAATGAGAGGTTTTGTGTAGCTAGTACACTTGGCGTGGTGCGAGCAAACTGGCCAGTCGTGTTAAGGTATCGTGCTTACAATGTTTTATTATGTAACGTGCATATAGGCCTAATGATGCAACTTGTTGTGTGATTGAAATGTAATTTATTGTATTTGTTTTGCGCCCGGCAATTATATTGTTAATAGTAATAATAATAATAATTTTGTCATCTATGCTTGTTAAGTTTGTCTTTTGCTACAGTTTTCGTTATTCGCCTAGGGATAACGGTTAGGCGAGGGCAAATGCAATCAGGAGCTGATAAGCAGTTCACCACTAGCATGCATATCATAACCTGTAGAGGCTACTGTAGGTAACGAGCGTCCATTGTTCTCCACACAGTGTGATTGTGTGAGTTATTAAGACAAGAGGGCGGATTGCGTGTGCGTCCTGCCTACTTGCTGGTCAATGTTCGCAATTCCTGTTAGCGGAAAGGCATTGCGCCTGCGGGAGGCATTGCGAATGCTGGTTGAGATTGAAATTTGGAAACCTACATGAATTGCTCATTAGTAGTGTGCATGTGATTTTTTTTCACATGGTTTAGGAATAAATAGTATATTGTGAATCATAACACCTCTATAACTTTTTAGCATAGGGAAATAAGCATTTGGCTATGGAAAATACCCTTTGGAAATGATTTGGCTCTGAAAGCGGATGTCCCCTCCCTAGGTAAAGAATACGCACGCAAGGGCAGGTCAGATCCAATTAAAAAGGAACAGCACAATCGGGGCTACCGACGAAGAGCACCTCAAAAATTGTTACAATAGAAATTACATATCACCACTCATCTGCTGTAATTTCAGGGTTCTCCAAGCTTTTTCATTATAGCATGGCGGGGCTGCCTTTACGGTCCTAGTTTTAGCATTTTTTAGCTAATTTTAGCATGGCGACTATGATATTTAGAGTGGCGGGTGCATTTTAGGATGACCATGGCCTACCTGCTGGGTATTACGTCTATCATGTTTATCGGTGACAGGGACAACCCAATGTTCTTGCCGTGCCATCTTCAGAGTCGTCCCAACGTGCTCCTTAAGCTGGAAAATACAGTGCTTAATAACATATATATGTATATATATGTATGTATATATATCAATATATACTGCTCTGTTACCATGCAATGTGGTGTGCTTGATCACCTGTGGCAAACTGTTGTAATACATGCAAGGAGGTCTAATCGGTCATAACCATGATAATGATACTTCTCATAAAATATGTGATATGTCAAAGAAGTGTGAGAAAAGTGTTCCACACCTTTATTCGTGTAAATAGTGTAGCACATTGGGCTTCAACAATGGGAGGAAAGATGCAAAGCCGCCCACGTACTGGGGCTGCAGGTCGGCGAACCTAACTGGGCAGGCTGCATAACGTCAGTGGTTGAGCGCAAATAACCGCATCATAGATTTGGCTTCCATACGTGTGTAGCAGGTGAAAAATGATGGGCATCCAGGTGTGGCTTACATCACAAGCAGAGAGAAGCAAGCTAGGAGCGAGTTGATGTAGATGTGTGAGGAGAGCAGCGGAGGTAGTAGGAGAGTGTGAAAGAAAGAGGGGAAAAATGGAGAAAAAAGAAGAGGTGACAAGAGGGTGTTAGTATGTCTGCATGTCTGTACATGCGTTGTGATAGAGGTAGGGAAGTAAAACAGAGAGACTCGAGGGAGAGCAGAGACAGAGAGCATAGAGATGAAGAAGAGCTTCTTATTTCTCGTCGTGTGCGGTTGTATTTGTGACGCCCGTGTGTGAGTGTTATGAAGTCTTACCTGTTTAAGTTATAAATAGTCACGCTAGGTGCCGTTAGACTTTCCCCAGGATATAAGTTTTGAAAACCCTGAATGAGAGGTTTTGTGTAGCTAGTACACTTGGCGTGGTGCGCACAAACTGGCCAGTCGTGTTAAGGTATTGTGCTTACAATGTTTTATTATGTAACGTGCATATAGGCCTAATGATGTAACTTGTTGTGTGATTGAAATGTACCTTATTGTATTTGTTTTGCGCTTGGCAATTATATTGTTAATAGTAATAATAATAATAATTTTAGTTGAACATGTCATCTATGCTTGTTAAGTTTGTCTTTTGCTACAGTTTTCGTTATTCGCCCGACAGGGTCGACATAACAGCTAGGGCATCATTAAGTGGTAACCCTGTAGTTGCATGTGATGTGAGCACATCGGGATGTGCGTGTTCGCGCAACATTCGGTACAGAAGTAAATGTGAGACGTTAGCCAGAAAAACGCCTATCGTGAGTTCAGTTAGTGCGTGAAAGAGTAAAGCATGCGAGAACGGAGTATCGATTGCGAGGAAAGTGAAATTAGGTAGATGGAAGTGGAAAACCCATTAACTACAGAATTCTACAGAAATGTTTGCGCAAGTGCACGTAATAGAGTGGTTGTGACTGATAGTTGGTGCCTCACGTTCGAGTCGGGATCATGCATGTACAATAAGGGAGCAAGAGCTTAGCGGAAACTGATGGGTGAACGTTAAACTACAGTAGGACGATGGGCATGTAGCCTGCGAGTAGGATAACGGTTAGGCGCGGGCAATGCAATCAGGAGCTGATAAGCAGTTCAACACTAGCATGCATATCATAACCTGTGGAGGCTACTGTAGGTAACGAGCGTCCATTGTTCTCCACGCAGTGTGATTGTGTGAGTTATTAAGACAAGAGGGCGGATTGCGTGTGCGTCCTGCCTACTTGCTGGTCAATGTTCACAATTCCTGTTAGCGGAAAGGCATTGCGCCTGCGGGAGGCATTGCGAATGCTGGTTAAGATTGAGATTTGGAAACCTACATGAATTGCTCATTAGTAGTGTGCATGTGATTTTTTTCCACATGGTTTAGGAATAAATAGTATATTGTGAATCATAACACCTCTATACCTTTTAGCATAGGGAAATAGGCCTTTGGCTATGGAAAATACCCTTTGGGAATGATTTGGCTCTGAAAGCGGATGCCCCCTCCCTAGGTAAAGAATACGCACGCAAGGGCAGGTCAGATCCAATTAAAAAGGGACAGCACAATCGGGGCTACCGACGAAGAGCACCTCAAAAATCGTTACAATAGAAATTACATATCACCAATTATCTGCTGTAATTTCAGGGTTCTCCAAGCTTTTTCATTATAGCATGGCGGGGCTGCCTTTACTACTACTAGTTTTAGCATTTTTTAGCTAATTTTAGCATGGCGACTATGATATTTAGAGTGGCGGGTGCATTTTAGGATGGCGGGGCTCGACAATTGCCAGGCTATAAGTGCTCTTGGAGAACCCTGAATTTAGGTTCAGGAAAAACAGTTGTAGAAACCATAATCTATACCTTATTAAACTTGTCTTTCACATCACTCAGGTGTACATCTGCAATTCGCTCTCCTGTTGTTTTAGCTGTATCCCAAGTGTTCAGAAGGTGATTGTGTATTGTAGAAGCCACACCTTTGGTAACCTCTGCCACGTTTTCTGTGGAACAATATATCTGGATCTAAGATAAAACGCGCTTTATCACTCCCCTTTAAAAAAAAATATCCCATCAACAAAATCGTCAATGGAAATAATTGCATTATTTAAAAAAACTGTGCCGGTTTAAAATTTCAAAGATTTAGTATCTTAATGGTATAAAATTGTTCACAATCATGATAACAAATAAAACTTACCAAGATTGTGCTGAATCTGTAAGTCTTTAAATGATTGCTTTACTTTGTCCTGTGCACTTCTAAATGCCTCACTGACGTCCTGCATCTTTTCAGTAATATTTGTTTGCCACCAGAACCTGTTGACGGACTCCCAGATATCATTGAAGATGGTGCCATCAATATAGGACAATTGTGACAGGCGTTTCCACACCAGCTCGAATAAATCCTTGTCACCACATGAAACTGACATGTTCAAAACGTACCTAAACAAAAATCAATTCACAAGATAAGAATAACTTATTATTTCACAACAAGTAATCAGTAAGGATATAAATTTTTACATGCATAAATGCAATATTCAATTTATATATGCTCCAAAGTGTAGGGAGGCTAGTTTCGTCAAATGTAGACTTGGTTCTTACACGGGATGTGTGGTGCACATCAGTCACGATCAAAGATGTGGAGTGCAAACATAGATGAGTTTATTACCTCCACCAAGGAGGTTATGTTTCCGCCCCTGTTCGTTTGTGTGTTTGTTGGTTTGTTTGTCTGTCAACAGGATATCTCAAAAAGTTACAGATAGATTTTGATGAATTTTTTTGGACGGGTCTTGGGCCAACAACCAATCAATTAGATTTTGGTGGTGATCCGGATCCAGATCTGGATCCAGGATTTTTTTTGTGGGGGAGACTTTGGACGCATTCAAAATTCACTAAAAAAAATCCTGGCTTTTTTTCAAATTTCTGAAAATTTCATCAAACTATATTGGGTGTGACAGCAAGATTAGGGGACTGTTACGCTGTGGCGGAGGTTTGCCATCTCCGATAGCTCTTGTTCTACTATATGTTATAACAGATAGAATCTGCAATCTGTAGGCTGTGGCTGCCGTGCGCTTAACTCATATAACAGAGTGGATGAAATTCACATATTGATGAAATGTCTTTCTAACAGCAACTTACATTTCTGTGACAATTGCCATCTTTTTCGGACTAGACAAAATGTCACCGACCACATCTGGTGACATTAGATACGTAATGCATGTTGAACAGTTGAAGTTGTCGATACTAAGTGGCAATTGGTGAGATTGATCGGATGCCTTAGTATCCAGGTGTAGTAGATTCTCACAAAGACGCATGCACTTTTCCTGGCAAGCATGCTGAGAATATGCTACACAGAAAGATAAGGAATACATTGCAATATAGTGAAACTCATCCCAGGGCATACAGTAGTATGACAGGTTTTAATGGAAATTCTTTACTATTAAACAAACCACACTCAGTGCTGCCACTCAGGATATTACAAAAAAAGTATAAAATCTGTCCAGAAAGTCCTCAAAATTGTCTCAAAAAAGTATAAAAACAAGTGCCGCAGAGCGACAGCGCTCAACTGAGCAAGCTCTACAAGCTGCATCCGACTTCGTCGGCTGAGCTAAACAGTATAAATTTGTATCAACCTACCATGATTTGTAGTCACTTGTTACCTAATACCTTATTACCGAATACATTATAGCCCATGTGCAGCATGTAAACAAGCTTCAGGAATGATGTGTGCCATGTGATGTGTGTGTGAATTCTCTCTTAAACCCTCAGTTTGGAATATTTAAATGTGATTTCTGTAATTTCTGTGAGGTGGTAAATTTGTTTGTAGTGTGTTTGCACGTTTCAAGTTCCTAGCAGAACGAGCACCGCAGGTGCTCGCCCAGCTAGGGCGGTCCGGGGGCATGCTCCCCCGGGAAATTTTTTTGACAAAATGGCGCAAGTCGGTGCATTCTAAGCTATTCTGAACACATTGTATAACTCTTGAATCTCTTTTTCAAGTTGTCAAAAGTTTCGTCAGTGAGGCAGTGTTTCGGACAGTGTGGCGGCTAAGAATTTGAGCGAGGCCACCCGTGTCAATGCAGGGGAAACACTGCAATGTTCTGTCATTTGGTCACTGATAGCAGCGAGCAAGAGCAAAAACACTCCACTGAACAGACCACGACACATCACTCCTGCAACAAGACTAGCAAAGCACATCTTTAATCTCATCAAATACAGTGTACCTAAATGTAAGTCCGAAGAGTTTTGACCATCTTTGGCAAAAAACAGTATTTAAAAGTATTTATGCATGAAAAAAAAAGTATGAAAAAAGTACATTTTCTTTAAAAAAGTATAATACTTTAAAAAAAGTATAAAGTGGCAGCACTGCACACTGATGACAGATATATACGTCTCAACTATAATATGTATCAATCTTCTTGGCAAATTCCTAGGAATGTTTGTCTACACCCACTAGCAATGCTTTTCATCATACCTTTATTTTTGATGTTGGTATCTCCTGTCACCTCCTCGATATCATCCTCGAAATCATCTGCAATATCCCTGTAATCATCTTCAATACCGTAATTACTATCATCACCATAGTCATAATCGTTACCATCATCATATTCATTTTCTTCAGAAGCATCACTGCTAAAATCATATTCAGTAGTACCAGTAGTATCAATATCATCAGCATCATCTTCATCTTCTACATCTGCATCGTATTCAGTGTCCTCAGAAACTTTCAACTCTTCTGCAATACTTTTCTGCAGCTCAATGGCATCGTGTAAATATTCATCCTGATTAGCTACATCTACGCCAACCAAAAGATCTTTCAGTTTAAGTCTGCCCTTCCCTTCGAGCTGCTGTGAAGGTGTGTAATCTAATGTGGCAGCATCTGTTGCTGGCTTCTGATGTAAAATCGTCTCTGAATTCCCTGGGTGCTTAGTGTAGCGCAGTCTCGCTATGACTAACTGCAAGTCTTCATTTTCATTAATCAGGTCATTCACTTGCCCTTTCAATGCTTCTATCATTTTGAGCTGTTTTTCATGTAACATTTCCCTCTCTGCATCATGCTTGTTTTTCATTTGGCTGTTGTTGTCATTAATAGAATGAGTGTCTGGACTCTCAGCTTGGTTTGCAGTAGGGCTGTCAAGTTTGGTCAACATTAACTCTAGTCTATGCTCCAACTGCTGCATGCGCTCGAAGTAGTCCGGCTGAAGTTGCTTCAAATCAAGCTGCTCTGTTTCAAGTTTATCCTGGTTGTTAATGTCTGAAGCAACGCAAGACTCGGTTGTGATTGCTGGTAGGCGATCAAATGATGCTGTGCTGCCACCTGGTATCTGGATTTAGACGAAAAATGGTAAGTTTAGAATAATTATACAGAAAACGATTACCACGCACACGCACACGCACACGCACACGCACACGCACACACATATATACTACACTCACAAACACTCTTAGATTATAACACCTAGACGAGGTGTAGTAAGTTAGCACGTCACTCATAAGGTTACTTTCAACGTTTGCAGACCAACCATATCCAAATGAAACAATAAACAGTGGCCATCTGGTTGATTATTCATTCCACAGCTACAATTGGTGTAACTAAGAATGATATGTAAGCTATAAAATGACACATTAACTATTTAAATTATTTTGTTACTAAATTGATCATAATTAACATATTAACTGTAATATATTTCACTTACTGTAAATGTAGATGGAGTTTCAACAACGTGCGGCAATTCATCGGTGATGCTCAACTCGTTGTCGGTTTGAACTTGATTTTTAAAAGAAATTACATTTACACACACACACACACAAACACATATATTAGTATAAAATAGAATTCAGAATACTTATGCCAATCTTGATAGCCAGAATCTTAAAGGAAATCTTTGATCAATGCTAACTAAACTCTTAATTAAAAGTTGCTTGTAGCTATGATAATTGGCATTGGAATTACACATTTACAGGGTAGGTGACTAATTTGTTTCTTACTACATTTTACATGTAACAATGTGAAACAATGATGAATATTTATAAAGTTTACATATTATCGAGGACAATGCAAATTTTGTCAGTGGCCAGTGTAGGAATAAGAAAAAAAAGTTAACATCAGCACTGCAACCAACCAGTACCATAACTTGTTGTTATGGTAATGCTGGGACAGTCTAGTATGAGGCCCGCTGTGACCATCAAACGAATCTATGGCATCAGATGGCATGCCTGAGGAAAGCTCAGGCAGATCTTCTTCTCCACTAACTATAAATATATATAAACAACTATAATATAAACATAATATATATATATCAGGGGGTGAATAATGGCAAATTTTTCATTTTGTGAATATTTACTCCTAATATATATATATATATATATATATATGTATGTATGGAGGGTACAACAGTGTATATAACAGACTGTTTAAGCTCACATATTCATTAGCAGAAGAAAAATAATACATGCATTATTTTATTTCTGATATCATAACCGAACACTCAAAAGAAGAGTGTGAAATGACAAGTTAAAAACTTCAGTTACATATCGGTTTGTCTGAACTAAATTAGTAATCGTCATGGGTTATAACCACGTGATCCTTTAGTGGCTAGCTGTGGCTATTTAACTCTCAAGGTAGCCCACTCTATTTGAACACGTATGAATTTGAAGATGTATATAGATTTATGTATTCTCCTTTAGACACATAGTACAGAAATTAAGCAATAATGTAGAATTACCTTTGTCAGGTACCTTGCTTGTCAGCTCTGTGGAGCTCGGCTGTCCAGGGTCAGACTGTGTGAGTGGTTCCAGTCTTGTGCTGCTATCATCACTATCGACGTCGGCGTCTTGACTGCTTTCAACATCAAGGGGGCTTTTCGGTGCTACTGTGACACACAAATAATTGCACAATCTAGAATCAATCACAGAATAAATGACTAATGCACACCTAATCGAACACAAACCTAAACACATTTATAGCATTGAGGTGCCCATATTTAATTTTTAATTTGTTCCGGTCTTAATCTTGTAATTTCTTATATATCTCTAAAATGTTTGAGCCTTTACTGCATAATTAGTTTACCAGCATATATTTCAATGTATGCATAAAAAATATTACATCAATATAAACATGAAAATACGTTCACTAGTGTTGTATCTCTCTTAATGCATAAATTAGAGTAGATATTATTGCCTCTCATCACTCTTACTCCGATAAATTAGAGGACGCAGATATGTGTAACTCAACCACTGCCTTTATTCCTGGAATCCCGAGAGTGCTCCCTTCCCGCCAAAACGATACATCAACAATAGAACATTACAACTAGCTATATTAATGCAATGGCACACGTGCAATATGAACACCATAAACTTACTGCAGGAACGAGACATGAAGTTAAACTGAGAACCAGAGCTACTAAGGGCTGAGAAAGTAGAAAAATCCATCTGTTCACTGCCAGAGACTTCTGGATCAAGCTTTACGAAATCCGATTCTGTAATAACACGAAAAAACGTAAAGCATGAAACAATTAAATGCATTGCCAGTGCAAGTTTGTTGTTCTATACAATGTGTGAAAATATTTTGAAAATGGTTTGGTATTCCAATAAATCATATGCACAGGGTTATGTAGATGACTGGCAGCCAATAATTTGGTTTATTGTGATGACGATAACTCAATCCTATTTTGGTTCTGTAAACACTTTCTGTTGTTCAATATTTGAGAAACACATGATTGTATCCTGGACCACTCCGTCATAAAATAAAGTGTAGTCACAATTATGGTAATAGTACCAAAAACACCAGTAATAGACTAATAGTACTGATGGTGGTGGTATTGTGGGTANCTATGTAACTGATAATAGAATATCATACCGTCGCTCGAGTCACCAATCGTGTCGCCAGGTTTCTCTAGCTCTGGAATGGAGTCCTTATCTTCTGTGCCACTACTTCTCTCATCATCACATGCCTTAGGATCAACATCTAGTGCAGCCTCAGTCTGTCTCTCACTCTCTGTATGTGCTTCTGTGTTGGCAGCATTAGTAATATTCTCATTCCCAGCAGTAGCAATGTTGCCTACTGCCTCCGCCTCATAAGGTTGCGCACCACTGGAGCTTGCAGTTACTGTTGGATTTGCTGTCATATCATCCATTTTCACTTCCAATTGTCCTTCCTGACTAGATGCTACATCCTAAAGTGGAAAATAGTACAAGTGACTTTGGAATTAGGGGACAAAATAGCGCAAAAATCCAAGGTACCTAAGAATGACTTAACACACAGGTCTGCCAAACTTAATAATGAGTCTTTATTTACTTAAAATTAAAGC